AGAGTCTACAAATGGCGCGGTGACGTGCTTCGGATTCCAAGGGGAAGCTGTTAGCTTTCGATCAGCTATTTGGTATTTTATAAATCTGTTTCGTTCCTGAATACAACTTCTACCATCCATCGTTTGGTAGGAAAATTATTGTAATAGTACAGCCTGTTATGGAAATATTTTTATTTTGACCATTCGCATTCATCGATGCCTGCGTTCCCTCGCAAGTGCCTTAACGCTAACGGAGACGCGTGTCAGCAGCCAGGTGTTATCGATCGTGGGCCACGATGGCCAAACCACGGGGACGATGGGGCCGAGCGACTTGACCTGAAATGCGCGCACACCCTGTTACAGTTAGCCTGGCTGTGGTCACAGTGTGTCTTCTGACCGTCCGCCCACCTGATCTTGTTAGGAAGCCTGCTCCTTGAGCAAGCCCTTTGGTTTGGAATCCGGATTTTGTAATCGGGTTCACACTTCAAGGACGATCGGAGTATAGGATTAACGGAGTACAAAAGACAATTTAGGCGTTACATCAATCAAAAAATTCAAGGTGAGTTTAGCGAAGATATAGCTGCTCACTGGGTGAGAAGGCGGTTTGAATGACAGATGGAAAACGTGAGATGGCTCTATGAGCTGGAGTCGACTGACTGAACCCTCTGCAGTGAACAAGAATGCCATCGATGAGACAACACGATTAGTATTAAGCATAAACTTGCGAATAATGATGGAACCGATTCAGACCTCGAATAGACGCATTAACATGGACTGCGCAACACTTACAATTGTTTGTCAATAAGTGGGTTATCGTTCCAATTAGCTGAATGGGTTGGGATGCAGAAGATTAAAAACAGAGGACGGGCGAACTTGTAAAGTATAAAACACTCGGATTTAAGAAAATTACCCTGCGATCCGATAAGCATATCACACTCCGGCAAATCGATTACACGCCAACAAACAGTCACAACAGATTGCAAATAGTCACACTGGAAGATCTGAAATTTCACTCTCGGACGCAGTTGGCCACCCTACCCATAGTCCCATACTGGACCTACCAAATTATGTAGCAGACTGATTGCCCAAACAGGATTTCTCAGTCAGTTCACTGTGGAATCTACCAACACCACCGATGAATACTGTGATTGCCTTACGGATGAGTGTGAAATTTTTGACCTTCCGGCGTGATCTTGTGGCTCAGCTGGTAGAGCACTTGTCGCATGTGTGTACGTTGTTTCTGTCGCTAGTTTGAATCAAGCCGAAGTCCACATTTATTGCAATGAGGTCTCTTCTAGATTGCAATGAAACACCGCTGTCTTATCATGCACTTTTGCCTCCAACAACGTCCATGCAATCAACAAAAACCAGTCCATTTACTCCATTTTACCAGATAACGACGTATATGCAAACAGAACCACGTCACGTTTATTATGAATATGTTTAGGACATTCATTCAGCCTTCTTGCTCATTAGCCTATCTTCCACATTTCAATCAATCACCATTCGTTCCAGTGCTTGCACCTTAAGATGCAGAGCTCGATAGAATTATGGTGGGTTACATGAATTAACGGTTACT